CTAGATCTCTTTGACAATGGGACCCTCCCCGCTGCCCCCGCCCCCACTGAGAGATGTTGCAAGTAACTAGAACCCTTTTGGGAAAGACTAACCTGGTTCATTTCACCTTACGTAGATTGTCCAGATGGTCAAAGATTTTGTGTACAAGAGCAGAAAGCCCGACTCACTGTAAGGCACAGGGGGAATCTGGTGGCTCACCTGACTCGGCAGAGTTACACCCGAGTTCAGGCTGTGGTTGGATCCAGGTGCTGAAATAGTGTCAGTGTGGCTTTTAACTGCTGCATCTCCTGCTTGGCTTGGTTTGGTAGGTAGGCTTCCTCCAGGTGGCAGGTGGGCTGGCCTCTGGGATTTCTCCAGTTGCCATCCTCCCCGTTTTGCCTCTTTAGTGAAAAGAGAAGCCATCTCTTCTATTAGCTTTAGCATAGAAGTGCTTGTAGTCCTTTGAGTGGCCGGGCTTGTGACTGCCCCGAATCAGTCATTGTGGCCAAAATGGTGGGTTACTTGGGATGACCTGGGTTATGTGTCCCATTCCTGTGCCTAGAAGGGGAGGCCTGTGATCCTACTAAGACCTCGTGGTATCCATGTAAGTTACAATCATTCTTAGTAGACCTTTGGGCTATTTCTTTTGTTCTTACTAACAATATAAAGTTAGCTGAGATGTGACAGAAGTTTGTCTAATTCACAGTGCATAATTGTTATAGTTGTAAAGAGTATATTGCAAAGTAGGTGTGGTTATTTATGCTTCTAATTGTTGTTTATGCACTCGGAAGCTGAGGCAGGAGAAGCACTGTGATTTTGAGGCCAGTCTGGGCTACATAGTAATCTCAAGGCCAGCCTGAACTATATAGTGAGAACCAGTTTTTAAAAAAAAACAAAGAACAGAGCTGGGCGTGGTGGTGCACGTCTATAACCCCAGCACTTGGAAGGTGGAGGATCATTGCAAATTTGGGACCAGCTTGAACTGCATAACAAAATCCTGTCTCAAAAAGACAAAACACAAAAACAAACAAAAAACCAAAAACCAACCAAACAAGCCATTGTGTATTGCAGAGTAACAAGTCCTGGTGACACACTCTATTCATTGAGAGTGACCTGAATAGAAAGACAGGAATCCAGCAAATGAAAAGGAGGAGTTCACCAGATTTGCGGCCCACTGAAAGATTTGAAAAGGACTTATTTTGTGTCTGGATTTAGTAATAGAGTTGTCAGTCAATGTACTCAAATGTCAAATACATTTCTCCCTCCAGATAATTTTTTTTTTAAATTCTTCTGCTTTTCTGTTTTCTTTTTTGGCGCTGAAGATGGAACCCAGGGCCTGGTGCATGCCAAGCAAGTACTTTACAACTGAGCTACCCCAGATCGTGTTTTGGGGTTTTTTTTCTTTCTTTAGCATAGTCATAGACTCATTTGCAGTTGTAAAACTTACACTGAAATCCTTGCATACTTTACCAGGTCCCTCAATGGTTACGTGTAGTAAAACCATGTGCAGTATCACCAGCAGGACACGGGCACTGATATATCCATGGTGCACAGGGACCTCTCATGTTGCCATTTATAGTCATCCTTCCCTCCTTCCCCTTTTAAATCCCTGGCAGCTACTGTTCTGTTCTCCGTTTCTATGATTTTGTCCTCTGAAGCGTGCTATATAAACGAGGCCATGCAGTATGTAACCTTTTGGGGTTGGCAGTCCACTCAGCGTCTTTCTCTTGAGCTGCATCCAGGTTCCAGGTGTCACTAATACTTTCCTTTTCACTGCTCAGTGGTATTCTGCGGTATATGTACTGGACTTGTTTAACTGCCCCCTCTTTGTAGGGCATCAGTTTTTGGCTATTAACAAAGAAACTTGCTATCAACATTTATATGTAGACTTTATGTGGATATACATCTTTATTCTTAGATAAAACGTCTAGCTGATTTGTACCATAGTTTCATGATTAGGTGCTTAAGAAAATGCTAACCTGTTTTCCATAGTGTCTGTGCCGTCTTACATTTCTGTATGAGTGATCCTATTTCTTTGCATCCATGCCCGTGTGTGCTGTTTTCACTGTTTTTCATTTTAGCTGTTCTAATGTAGAGATGCAGATATGTCGTGATACCTCTTTGTGGTTTTGGTCTCTGTGTCTTTGCTGGGTAATTTTGAATCTCTTTTCATGTGCCTTTTTCCTCTCTGTATGTCCTCTTGTGTAAAATTTCTTATATGGTTTTGTCCATTTTCTAATTACTATTTTTTACCTGTGTGTTTTGAGTTCTAGAAACTAGTCCTTTGTTGACTATGTGGTTTGCAAATATTCTTCCACACTGTAACTTGATTTTCCATCGTCTTACAGGATTTTGTCAAAGCAAAATTTTACATTTTGATGACATCTGATTTAACAATTTTTCTTTCTAATGACTGAACTTTTGTTGTCAAGTATAAGAACTTTGTACCTTGCTCCAGGTCCAGACTAGACCTCCAGTGATTCCCCCCCACCATTTTACAATGAAGTGCGTGATTTATTTTGGGTTAATTTTTTGTATAAGGTGTGATCTCCAACCATTGTTTCTGCCTACAGATATCTAATTGCTCTAATGCTAAATTGTTCAAAAAGCTCTTTTTTCCATTGAATTGCATTTACACTATTGTGAAAAATGAGTTGGGCATATTTATTTGGGTCTGTTTCTGGGTTTTCTGTTCTATTGGTCTGTGTTTCCAGCCCTCCATCAATGACACAGTCTTAGTAGCATCCAGTGAGTTCAAGTGGGCAGACCAACTCCTGCTATTTTTCTTTTCAAACTTATTTTATATGTAGTAGTTCCTTTACTTTTCCATATAAGTTTCTTTTTAATGTTTGCAAAGATATTTTGCTAGTAATTCGGTAGAGATTATTCTAAACCTCTATGTCAGTTTGGTCTCCAGCAATATTTTGGGGCTTCCTTACTGACTGGTCAGTTGGTTTGAAAGTCTAGAGTCCCTACTTGGTCTTCTCTGATGTCACCCCAGCGGGTATGTTGGAGCACCTTGTTATAGACTCTCCACTCCCTGCTGGGCCTTGCGGCTTGCCTAGTACTATGAGTACTAGACAAGTGAGTGGTACTATAGTTTGTGTGTGTTTGGCTGAAGTAGAATTGTTGTCATCAAACAGTTTTAAAAAATCACATTAGGCTGTCCTTGTCTTAATTCATTTGTAAGAAAGGGACCTTTTAGGGAGGGGGGGTTTGTGGGGGGTTGTTGTTATTGTTGGTATCTGTTGGCATTTCTGGATTGCTGGCTTCTTCAGCTCCAAATTTTGGGTATAGGAGGTAAAAGAAAATACAAGGAACTCGTGACCGTGTTCCTTGGGCTCTGAAGTTCTTAGCCTGTCTGCCACCTTTTCTCCGTCTTTCAGGTCTTCCTACTTGTTATATAACTGATGTCCAGAGCTCCCTGTCCCTCCTACAATGTCTAGTGTTCTTTGTGGGAGGATAGGGAAAAGTATATCTAATTTCCTGCAAGCCATGTTCCTATTTTCTTTTTTAACTATAAAAATTTTAGCCAGGTGTTAGTGGTGTACACCTTTAATCTCAGCACTTAGAAGGCTGAAGCAGGACTGTTGCAAATTTAAGGCCAGCCTGGGCTACGTACTAAATCCAAAGTCTACTGAACTATATAGTGAAACCTTGTCTCAAAAAAAAAAAATTAAACATTCAGGAAAGTATCATAAGTTAATGAATATTAGTTACCTATTTCCTAGATTAAAGAGTTGTAAATGTTTTTCCTATGTCTTTTTTTTTTTTTTTTTGTCTTTTTCATTTTTATCGGTACCAAGGATTGAACTCATGACCGCCTGCTTGCAAGGCAGGTGCTTATGCCGCTGAGCTAAATCCCCAGCCCCTCCTATGTCTTAATCTTTGTTTTCTGAGTTTTAAATTATAGACATAATGATATTCCATCTGTAAATTTCAATGTGCATCTCAAAAATAAAATTTTGAATGTAAGGATAGTATTTTATTTGTAATGATTTATAATAAGGTCCTCATGTTATTTAATCTCCAGTCATAACTTGATTTTATCCGAGTTATTCCACAATTGTGATTTAGATGGTTGGAAAAGTAAGATCTAATCAAGAACATGAATTGCATTAGTTGTTAGAGCTTTAAAACATTTGTTAATTATTTGTCAAGAAAAATTATTTTTTAACCCACATAGTCATTTTTCATAGTTCAGGAACACAGGTCAGTGACAAACTTCAGTGGAACTCGGGCCAAAGAAATTTTTTACATTTCAAAGTCACTGTGCCTTGAAAGATACCACCAGCCTTTTTTTTTTTCCTTTTTGTACCAGAAATTGAACTTGGGACCTTGTGTTTGCCAGGCAGGTGCTCTGCTGCTGTGCTGTATTCCTCGACCCCACTGGCCTTCTTTATCTCCTCAAAATCTCTAATGGAATCATAATTTTGTAGAAATCTACATTTGCTGTCTTTCTTGGATCAGCCACAGCGAGGGTGCAGAGTTACCACGCCCAAGGTGATATGGTGCAGAGGTGTGAACTCACAGGTGCTTGGCCAGAAACATCTGAGGTTTAAAGTGCTGGTAATTGAGTGTTTTAAGCACCAGTGTTCTTCCTAACTGATGGAGATTGGTTAAGGCCTTTTAAGTTTCCTTTAATCTTTTTATTTACTTATTTAAAATTTTTATTTCGTTGCTACCTGGAATTGAACTCAGGACTTGTGCTTGCCAGGCAGGCACTGTGCCACTGAGCTATATCCCTGGTTTCCAGTTTCCTTTCATAATGAAGAAGTTCTGTTTATTTTTTTCTCCATGGTATTGATTTGTTGAAGAAATAGTTAATTTGAATGTTGGAATGTTCTCCTGTCAATAGAACTACTCTGGGTGTTTCTTCACTTTTATCTCCTACATTTTGTGTAAAATAGAAGTTAGATTTTTAAAGCCTTGATTAGATTTGTTTGAGAATTTTTTTCATAGGTGATGCTATATTAAGCAGATTGTCAGATGCTTGTTATTTCTAATTTGTTTAACAATAGAGAAGATGCCTTCTGCTTCCTGCGATATGCTACTGGATGACATAGAAGATATTGTATCACAGGAAGATTCAAAGCCACAGGATAGACATTTTGCAAGAAAGCATGTTGTTCCAAAGGTGCGAAGAAGAAATACCCAAACATATTTGCAAGAGGAAAGCAGTCCACCAAGTGATAGGTAAGCTTTTTTTCCTTGAAATTACTCAGTTTTCATTCAGAAAGAGAAGCTGGCACTGTATAGTCTGACACACACAATGTGTGTTTTAGAATCTTTGAACTTTTGATTGGAAGCATAGATTTTGTTTATTTGAATGATTTTTAAGTTTAGCAAGGTAATAATTGGGTAAAGTAGGTGTCCAGGAGTATGTTGTTTGAAAGCAGGGCTTAAGACCAATAGGAATCTCCATTTTATATGCAGCTCTGTATTACTTCTAAATTAAAATTACAGTTTGTGATTCTTCTGAGACAGTGGTGTTTTGAATATTTGATTTTTTTCTTGGTGTTAGTGATTCCAGGGATAAAACCCGCTGAGCTACACCTCCAGCTTAGTAAAACTATTTTGACACAGGGTTTTACTAGGTTGCACAGGCTGGACTCTTAACTTGTGATCTTCCTGTGTAAGCCTCCCAAGTAGTTGGTGTGTATCACTGCATCTTGTGTGACATTTGATTATTCTTAGGAAATTTATGAATGCTTACAGACCACGTAAAGGCATTGGACATAAAAAGTATTGTCCTGTTATCTGTGTGTGATGGCATATACCTGTAATCTCAGTACTTGGGAGGCTGAGGCAGGAGGATTGCCATGAGTTCTAGCCCACCTTTGGCTACATAGTGAGACCCTGTCTCAAAAAGAAAAAAGAAAAAATTACTGTTCTGTTTACAGTGTTGTGTTAGGACTATGGTCCATTAAATTATGTATTTATTTTAGTGTGCATTTGTAATACGAAATACATTCATCACAAGGAGGTGGTGTGTGTACAGACCACATCTTAATCCTTTTTCCACTCCCTTTGCCTCCTACCTTTGTTGCCAGACCCTGTCCCCATCTGGATAAAGTCTACTTCCCAGTTTCCTATCATCTATCTTTTGTTTTGTTCTTCAAGTTATTTATACTTTAGATTTCTTACATAAGAGATATCATGTGGTATTTAACTGTGTCTGATTTATCTCATTTAGAATATGGTCTCAAGATGCATCCATTTTCCCATAAGTGTCTATAATCAGTGAAATTCTAGTGTAACATTACTAGAAAGGATTATGTGGTTGTACAGTTTTTTTTTTTATTGGTACTGGGGATCGAACTCACGACCATGCGCTTGCAAGGCAGGTTTTTATGCCGCTGAGCTAAATCCCCAGCCCCCTGTTGTACAGTTTTAATAAACCTATTTTTTATTTAATAAATTGTCCGAAGTTTTATTACACTTAGTTATTTTGTTTGGAGCATTTAGCTTTTCACATCTATGAATTTGCCAGGTGTGATGGTCCATGCCTGTAATCCTAGTACTTGGGAAGCTGAAGCAGAAGGATCATTTTGAGTTTGAGGCCAGTCTCAGCTACAAAGTGAGCTCAAGGCCAGCCTGAACTGCATAGTGAGATTGTCTCAAAAAGACACATAAAACAACCCCCCTCCCCAAATTCTGTGAATTTAAAATTTGCTTAATTTTGATGACTAGAAGGTATTTAGCTCAGAGTACTTGCATAGCATGGCAGAACTGCTGGACTCAGTTCCTTGTACCACAAAGCCCACCAAAACCAAGTATTTTAATGATTAGAGTTTATTTAAGCTTGTTTTGGACATGTCGTTAAGGTGGTTTCTCTTAACCTACTAATTATTAGGGCAGCCTAGCTTGAGAGTCATTTTTTTCTTAAAAATACTACATTTTTTTGGAATTCTGTTTTTATGGATAGAGTACTTTTAATGCTGTAGAGTCACAATTGTTAATTTTAGAGTTGTTTACATCTGTACTTTTAAACTAGATAAAAAGTGCAACTACTATATGGGTTCTATAAACAGAATGATACAGTTCATGTTTCTCTCCTTGCTATTACTGCTGGAATCATTTTCTGTGCTGCTGGAACTGTTATGCCTCTTTCGTTATTTTTCTTTGAGGTGCTAGGGTTGGAACCCGGGGCTTCACCCATGCTAGGCAAGTGCTCTACCACTGAGCTATATCTGCAGCCCTTTTTATTTTGAAAAGTCCTCCTGCCTCATCCTTCTGAGAAGGATGAGAGTTCAGGTGTGCACCCCATATGCCTGGCTGCATGAGTCTTTCTAGAAATTGAATTAGTAGTAGTATGGTCAGTAGTAGAATTTAAAAATACAATTCAGAAAAAAGGAGATTTTTAAAAATATTGACATTCTTAACTTAAAATTATATTATTTTATCTTGGTGTTAGGCTTTGATGTAATAGCAGATTTTGAATTAAATTGGTACATTTAATGAACAGATATGAATTGATTATAGTTTGTTTTTTGTGTAACTGGCTTTTATTTTAAAAATCATTTGATGAGACTTACTTTTTGTATTGATTACCCAACAGCACTATTCCAGGCATACAGAAAATTTGGATACGAACATGGGGTTGTTCACATAATAATTCAGATGGAGAATATATGGCTGGACAGCTGGCTGCTTATGGCTATAAAATTACAGGTAATGAGATCTTGCATGTATCTTAAATTTTTTTAGGATTACAGGTTTTTAGAAATAGATCTTTTAGCTTTGATGATTCAAGGGTATTTTAGCATGACTTGATGATTTTAAAGCAAAACGATAGATACTGTATAGCACCTAGATAACTATGGAAATTGTGTTTTAAAATAAGTTCAAAAACTTTTTACTTTGAAATATATTTAGACTTTCATAAAAGTGGTACAGCAGCAGAGTTAGGGCCCCTCACCTTACACAGGTGTAATTAATAAACCAGAAAATCAAAGTTGGTGCAGTGCTTCTTTCTAAATGCTGCATCTTCATTGATTTGTACTGGTTTTTTCTTTAACTTCATTTTTCTGTTCCAGGATCTAGTCCAGCGTCTCGCCTTACATTTGGTTGTCCTATGACCTTAATCTTTTTGAGTCTGTCACACTTCCTGAATTTTTATCTTTTATTACCTTAGCTCTTTGTAGGATGTCCCTTAACTTGGGTTTGTCTGACATTTTATCTCATGATCAAATGAGGTTATGCATTTTTGGCCGGGAGGGCATGGAGGTGTCCTCGGGGGTGCGTCCTGCTGCGGTCATGATGGCAGTGTCTTATTACTAATCTAGCACTAACCTGTGTCTCCCAGGTTTCTTTCCAATAATGTTGCTATTTTTCTCATAGAGAATAAATCTCCTGTTTCTCTTGAACCTTTGCCTACTTACTAATTTTAGTGGCTCCAGTGGTTCTTGTGTGCAGTAGTTCTTGGTATAGTGTTTGCTTAGTGGTGATTTTGTTCTTTTCTACATTTACTAATTAGAGTTCTTCTGAAGAGCTGGCCTTGCTTCCCGAATACTTCAGTTATTTTTATCAGTACAGACTCGGGGATATTTATTCCACAGGGTTTATTGTAATACTGTCATTGATTTTGCCTACATTGTCCCTATTTGTGCCATTAGGTTCTTTTGTAGACTGGCTCCTATGTCTTTTTAACATGCTATTATTCTTTTTTTGGAGCATTTCCTAATTTTCTAGTGTATGAAATGTTCTCTCCCCCCCTTGATGTGGTAATGGAGATGGAACCCAGGGCCTTTGCACGGAGTTACATCCATAGTCTTCTTAATATTTTATATTGGTATAGAGAAGTGAGAATGAATCTTTGAGAGACCAAGTGCCAGACTACAACCTCAAACCCACTTATCACAAAGTGCTAACACAGCAAATAAACCCGAAGCCTGAGATTTTGGTTTAGAAAAAACAGCTCTCCATTAACATCTTTTGACTTCAAAAAAAGCACAATAACACCCATGCCATAGCTTCACCACCACTGACATAGCCTGTTGCTACATCCCTGAGTTGCCCAAGCTGAGTCTGAATTTGCCCTTCTGCCTTGGCCTCCGAGAGGATTACAGGTGTGTCCCATCACTCCTGGCTTCTGTTCTCATCTTAATGTGTTTCTCCCCCTCAGGATTGGTAGCAGAGTTTTGATTCCTTTGCCTCATCGAACAGCTTTTAGAAATAGATTTGGTCAGTAGCTGTGCTTGTTCATTGCCATCATCAGGTGTCAGTGCTTTGAGGGTCTCTGGGTGGCCAGAAGTAGGAAATGTGTGTGTGTACTGACCACGCACATGTCTGTCCTATTTCTTTTTTTTGTCGTTTTCGTTTTTATTGGTACCAGGTATCGAACTCACGACTGCCTGCTTGCAAGGCAGGCGCTTATGCCATTGAGCTGAATCCCCAGCCCCTATGTCTGTCCTGTTTCTGTATCCGTCTGTTTATATGTTAAATGAGAATCATAATTTGAATGTGTTGTGCATCCTGCTGCGGTCATGATGGCAGTGCCTTACTTACTACTAATCTAGTACTAACCTGTGTCTCTCAGGTTTCTTTTCAAAAATGTTACTATTTTTCTCATAGAGAATAAATCTGTTTCTCTTGAACCTTTTGCCTATTTATTAATTTTGCCTACTCACTAATTAATTTTTTGTACTTACAAAAATACAGAAGAGGGCCCTGACTCAGAGTTATATATCTGTTATCTTTAGTTTTTTAGTAGAAGGAAATATTAGCATCTTCACAGCTGAGAAAGGAGAGATATATCTTACAATTTGTTTTGTTTTTTGGTACCAGGAATCAAACTCAGGACCTTGCTCTTGCTAGGTAGGTGCTGAGCCGCTGAGCTATATCCCCAACTCCTGAGCTATCTCTTACTTTAAATCACACGGGCATTATGCTGGGTGTGGTGGCACAATCCTGTAATCCCAGCACTTGGGAGGCTGAAGCAGGAGAATTGTTTGCAAGCTCCAGATCAGCCTGAGCCCAAGGCCAGCCTGAACTACACAGTGAAACCCTGTTTCAAAAATACAAAAGAGGGGCCAGGGATTTAGCTCAGTGGCTTAAGCGCCTGCTTGGCAAGCGTAAAGTCGTGAGTTCAATTCCCAGTACCCCCATGCCCCCCCCCCCAAAAGGAAAAAAAAATCACATAGGCAGTGGGAAACACTGCTCTCGGTCACCATCCTGGGCATCACAGTTGGTTTTGCACATGTAATTTTCAAGTCCTGGTCGCAAAGATGGATGTAAGGATTATGGAGGACTGAAAGCCTCTTCATTGCATGGTTTCCTTCACTAACTCAAAGACCATGCTATTGACTTTGCATTTTTGTTAACTTAATTGTTTAGACAGCAGAATCCCTAATACTTTGGTCTTTTAAATTAAAAACATTCAAAATATGCTGCCAGAATTACAACTCCACAGGCATAAATCATTTAGCCTCTGCCTGCCTTAAAACACAATGTGATGGTATAGAGGATTAAGATAATTTTCTGAAACATTAAAAAAACCAAATGTTGTCTTTCTTAGGTGATACTAAATATCTAAAACTTTTTTTTATTTATTACTTATTTGGGTACTGGAAATTGAACTCAGGACCTCAGGCTTGCCAGGCAGGCACTGCACTGCAATAGTTCTCTTCTGTATTAAATAACAGTCTTGATATGTTTTAATAAGAATATTAAGCTTTAAAAAAAGAATGTTAAGCTTTAATATGCACACTTAATTTTGATTTCTCCCTTGCTATAAAGGGAGAATTAAGGAAGCAATTATTTGATTATATATTTTTCTTACTAATGTTATATATCTTATATATTTATATTACTTATCTATGTTTGTATTAATTTTACATTCTGTTGGTTGTCCTCAGTTTTAATTCTAGTCTGGCTTCAATCCAGTAGACTATAGGACCTATTCCTTCACTAGTTTCTACCTGTAGCACAGGAAATATGTACAACACCAAAGAAGGAAATCTCTACAGAGGTGGATTATTTTTTGAGTGGTGATTGAACTCAAGACCTTGTCCATGCTAAGCATGTACACAGCCATTGAATTACCCCCTACATCTGTAGCTCTTATATTTAAATTAGATATGATATGAATGATTTCTGTATTGCCTATGGCAGTGGTAGTGAACCTGTGGTATGTGTGCCACCATGGGCTGTTTGTATCATTTAAAGCTTTAAAAGGTTCAGTGTCACTGGCCTGTGTCTTCCATTATTATGGAATCATAGTTTATTTTTTTATTTTTTATGGCTTTTTCCTTTTTATCGGTACCAGGGATTGAACTCACAACTGCCTGCTTGCAAGGCAGGCGCTTATGCCGCTGAGCTAAATCCCCAGCCCCATAGTTTATTATTTATAAGTTGTAATGTTTTTGTTAATTGAAAGTAGACCCAAAAATTTCAAATATGTAACTGATATAAGTATCAAACATACCTTGTATATAATGTATTCAGAGATAATTGAAAACAGTATTCAGAGAAAATTAAATCAGTTATCTGTTATCTGTTGTAGATGTTCATACTATTGAAGGAGGAAAGATTGTGTGGGTAGACACTTGAAATAGCTGCTTTTAACTATGACTCTGGGATATAATTATTCCATAGTTAGACTTTCTAAAGGCTTAGAATAGTTAACTGTTATTTATTGCTTCTTTTCAACCTTTTTTGATTTTGAGGAAAAAGGTTCCTAACTTTTAAGCAAACTGTTGCTAGCTTGCTTTCTTCTCATTTCAAATAATGAAATATATGGAGTAGAAATGATACTATTCCCTAAAACTCAGGACAATTAATTGTCACCATGGATACTGGCAGCATAGGATAATTAAAATGGTGTCATGAGAAACACTTGAACTTTTCCTATGGACATTGTGGTTTTTTATAGAAATATAATCTGAATGCATATATTCCATGAATGTGTTCTTTTTCAAGTAAGCAATTTTTGTAGATTAAACTTTTTTTCTGGTAAGGCTGTAGTTATTTTTGAATGACTTCTTTTGGGGATATTGGTAAATTATTTTCATTGTCCTTGCTAGTGGCAAATCTTTGTTACTTGAGAATACATTTAGTGATAAAAATAGTAATGGGTCTTTGGAGGCCAAATCTGGTAAGTGAGGTAAGTGATACATTGTTGAACATTGGTATTTTACTTAAAAAAAAAAAAAAAGGAGGGGGGATTTTTGTTTGTCTTACTGATTCAGAAAACAGTTCTATAGGAATTCTAAAGGAGTAGCAGTGATTTTTGTACTTTCTGAGTATCTTCAGAACCTCACAATTCTTCCACAGTTCCATTAAAGACCTTGTAACCACTGTGCCCTACGCTGGGTTATATACGTGAAATACTGTGAACCTGTGAACCGGTGTGATCCAGAACACAACTGTGTTGGAAAAATGATTTAAACATGAGGAGTCTGTTAAAGTTCTTAGTAGTTTCTTGTGTACTTGTACACAGTTTATTCCTTAGGGAAATGTTTCCTGAACATGTTATGTGTTACAGAGTAGAGTGATAGGTGATGTAAAGATATGAAAACTAACCATGGGTTCTAGCACGCAATAAGACTCTTCTTTTTTGACAAAGGAACAGCTTGCCTGCTTCCCTCTCTTCCTCCCTTCTTTGGTTTCTTTCTTTTTTTTCTGAGATAGGGTCTTACTGTGCAGTTCAGCTGGCCTTGAACGATCCTCCT